TTTTTGTTTGGTTGAAAAATTTTTTTTTGATTGAAATTATTTTTTTTGACTGAAGATGCTTTTTGTTTGAATAATAAAAACACAAATTTACCTCCATAGAGCAAAACCCAGGAGGGATGTTGAGCGTGACACATTAAATGTGTACCGTGTTATTTACAAAACACAATGAATGAATGAATAGCTGTTCTCTTCATAGTTAATTGTATATTTTTATTAACTGCGAAGTTGCTGTGCGACTTCTGCCTGTTTGCGTTTCAGTAGCAGAAATGTTTTTTTTTTTTCATATCTGTGCAGGTGTCCACTGTTCTGATCTTGTGAATTTTCCTGAAGGTCTTTTGCAAACAGGTTCTGCTTATCTAACCTATGAACAGATCTGCCTGACCTCGACTGGTTCTGCTAATAACTTTTTCTTTTGTTGCTTTGTAGGTTTTTTTTTTTTTAAATCTTACTTGAGTTTAGAATTTTTTTTGAATGAGAGTAGACGAGTCAGTATATTTAAAGTTAATAAAATTTGGCCAAACAATGACTAAACAACCTGTAGATATACAGTACCCACTTAAAGTGTCAAGCCTTTATACAATGTGTTAATTCAATGTAGAAATCTTGTGTACTTACCTCACAACAACTTTCCTCTGTGTCTGGTCAATTTTGCAGTACACCATTTTAGTCCGGACAGCTAAAATAAATAGAGAAAATGAATGGTTAGGGTTTGAAGCAAAGCTTTCCTTACTATGAGAATCCATCATCAAGAATACCTGTTTGTCTAATAATAAAAAAGTATTGTTTTGTATTTAATTTGTAAGATGAAAAATCCCATTTCCCATATCTATTTCAGAGCCTGAATATATTTAACTTGTACAAACTCCATTTCTACAGTAGCTGGAAGGTTTGCTAAAATACAACAAAACTTGTGTTAGCCTAATTTTAAATGTATTCAATTTAATATCTGATCATAGTTTGATTATTATTTGGATTTATTATTCCGTGATAGCACTCAAAGTTCTCATTATGGGTTTGTCTTGCTCATAATTCTAAGGTTGAGCTACGGAAAGAGTTGTTTTCATAAAAACACAAGAATCACAGAGCAAAACCAAAACTCAACCTGAGCCCATATCTCAGCTGCTGCAGCAAAAGCAGAAAACTTGTTCTCCAGCTATTTTATCTTCATTTGCACCTCATTCCCTGTCTT